AAAAAAACATTGTCGATCTGCCTTGACCAAAGAGTAATAAATATCCTGGTTGAGCTCATGAACAGCTCTCCATCTTTGTCTGCTTCCAATATCAGTTTCAACAAGAAACCATTAAAAAGATCCAGATACAAACGACCCAGACATGCTGTTGTCTAGCATATCTCTGTTGTTGAGAGATGAAGAACAAAAGAAATATAAACGGGATTAAAAAAAGGGCAGAGAGCAAAACTGAAACCAAAAACCAGGGAGAGATGGAACAGAGGGACAGACAGACAGATAAGAAGAGACATCCGTGAAAAATGACAGAAGCAGATAGGGGAAAAAAAAAGCAACTGTTTCTCACTGTCAAGAGAAATAATGATTGCAGGGCTGAGGAGAGGAGAAGGGAGCAAAAATAAAAAGTAAGACACAAAGCAAGCCTGAACTAAAGTACAGTTTTGATTCAGGGAGAAATAGGACTGGCAGCGGTGGAAAACGAGCTCCGAGTTACGTGTTAGTCAAAAGATAGCACCCCTCACAACTGAAACACAAATCATTACTGCTACCTCTACCCAACCTTGTTTTCATGCCCAAGTAAGCTCTTTGGTTAGTGTCTATGAATGTAACGCAGCCTTTTAGCATGTCTACAGTCCTCTCAAATGGCTGTCAGAATTAATGAAAAGGAAGCCACTCAAGCAGCTGGTTTGAAAAGAAATGAGATTTGTGTGAATACAGAAGTGGAGTAATAGGAGACTTAATGTGAACATGTCATAATGGGACAGAAGCACAAAGAAAGACTGTGACGGAGAAAGAGCACTCCATTTATAAAAATGTAAACATACTCAGCTTGAGGTCTGTGAATATGATGTGGATAAAGTCTGAAGAAAGATCTAAGAACTATAGCTCTTATTTATTTCAACGTTGCTACTTTAGATTTGTGAACACAGCATATAGATGAGGGCAGATATGAGCCAGTTACCAGGTTCAAGGTATACCATGATGTTAGAGTTCCTTCACACTAGATTTGTCTGGTGGACTCAATTCGATTGGGCAGGGGATATTTGGTTTGCTTTCACACTGCACTTTGAAGGTGGACCAAATTGCCAGGACACCATGGCACAGTTATGACAGCTGCTCATTTTGAGGCGGTATTGCCTGAAACAAGTAATGTATGAAGTAGGAAAAAAAGCACAGATATGAAAGAAGCCATGGCCAGGATCAAAAATGGAAATCCATTGTCTTCAGCTGGTTTATTCACGCACTGCTCTCTATGTCACTTCCTCTTGTTGCTTCGCTGTATGGTCTGTTTGCATGTTGTGCTGTAAGCAAAGCACACAGGGGTCCACTTGCAAGCAAACAGAACCGACATTTTCAGGTGGACCAGAGTTTTTATATTTGGTCCGCACCAGAGATTAGATGAGCTTTCACAGCTGCCCAAATAAAGTGGCTTATGCAAAGAAACAAACTATGGTTTGTTTAAACTTAACAGTTCTGGTGTGAAAGTGTCCTAAAAAAAGGGAGGTGGCAAATCCACTACATTTTTATGTCATACCATTCCAAAGGTTTAAATGCCTTTAAATAAGAAACCAGAAACAGCACTCCACCTCTCATACCTGTTGCTACAAACGACCATTCAGTCATGTACCTTGGTTGATTAGAGAATTCCCCAAATGCTTGTTAAAAAAAGATTAGGTCAGCTGGATGTACATTTTATTTGGCAGATAACAGTCATTCATGGTTCGACCAACAAACAAGCAATGCCTTGGTTTTCAAAGCAACACTGTTTTAAAACAAAAGTTCTCAGCAAGCTACAAGAGTCAGTCAGCATGTTAGCAGGTGAAATGTTTACAGCCTACCACTGTAGGCTTGCCACTAAAAATACTATTCAATACTAGTTCTTTATCAACTACTGTAGGGTTTCCAGCACTTCATGCAGGTTCCTGAGTCCAGAGGCAGAGTCAACTACCCACAGATAAGAGTCATCCCACTAATGAGAACAATGACAGAAGAGCTTCCTTCCCTGCTGGAGCATTACTTACCTTCTGGTATTTCTGCTTTCGGTCTCCTTGTGTTAATTCTCTTGAGTAAGTTCATCTTACCCTGTTATTCTCTTCACCTTCACACAGAACCTAGTTCCTGAGACCTCCGTGGCTGTCCTCAAATCCTCAACCCCTGTCCCACCTGTGAATTACTAACCTTCCTAGTGGATCTTATCCAACTGCTTTTACACCTTCCAACCCCTTGCCTCCACACTCCACCTGTGCTCCTTCCATTGGGACCATCTCCATCCCGGAACCCCAAGCCCTCCTTTCTATGCACCCCACCTACCAGGGTCCTGTAAGATATCTACAACTTGCATTATCTAACTGCTCCACGTAGCTTCTGAAGACTTCCCTTCCAGAGTTTCCAGGACATGCCCAGTGTATATAATATATTCTATCATTCCACTATAAATAAATCATTTTAAATTCTGAAGGGTTTTGAGTTTTCCTCAGTCCATTCACTATGGGTAAACTCCACCATTATGACAATGACAGCCTGTCAGGCTCTTAGCTTTACTTTGCAAAGAGCAGAACAGAGAAAAAGTATCGTAGGTACTATAAATTAGAAATGTTTACCTATAAAAATAAATCAAACAGGCTGGTGTTTTAATTGACACTATATTATAGAATGTATTTATTTTTCTCATTTATTCTCCATGCTAGTGATTAAACTCAAAGTTCTGCCTTGATAATAAATATAATGGTGAATAAAAATGTTATAAAGAAAAAGTTGGTAATAAATCAATTTTAAAATCTGTCCCAGGAAGTGCAGGGGAAAAAGTAGGCAAAATTTAAAGTGACTGTTCACTTGTGTTTTCTTAAACTCTTTATTTAATCTTGTGGATTATAAATATAATTATAAATATTTGATTTAGTATTATCATAGTATTATACCTTATATTTATTAAGCAATATGTGATATAATTTAGATAGCAAAAATAATAGTAATTGCTTTTGTGTTTTAAACAAAAGCAAATAAATGACAACATTTTTTTTTTTTTTTTTTTCTGTTTAATCCTGTGGAACATGGCGTTGTTGCTCAAGGTTATCATAGTCAGAATCTCAAACCGGCACAGACTTTGTGGAGAGAAATGAAACACGACACAGGGGCATCGTCCTCTACTATTTTCATTAAAGAAAAAACCCAGATAGGAGTCCTCATCAAGAGTCCAAACAATGAAGGCACAGAACTCATCCTCCCATGTTTTCTCCTCCTCACACTTTGTTTCACTCCCTCCTGCTGGGAGCAGAGCAGTGGGTAAAAATCGTCTTTGGAGCAGGAGGAAGCATGCTGTGACAGAACAACCTCACACACACACACACAAACAAACACAAACTGTGCACAGACTTCTGCTCACTGCTTCTTCCTGAGAGCAAGACTGAGTCTCCTTTGACCGCCCAGTCTGTTCTACTTGTCTCTGACCTTTACCATCCTCGGGAGACTCTGACCAGACTAAAAGCACTTTGTGAGCGTTTGTGCAGAGCCATGTTTGTGTGTAAAAAAACTGCCAAACCATGTTAAAACCAACACAATGACTTCAAACATGTTGAAAGAAGGTGCTGCTCTTCATCTCTGCAGCAGCCATAACCTGATGTACATGCATGAAAAATAAATAAATAAATAACAAAACTATAACTTGCAAATGTGCAACGGCAGAAGAGTAATGTTAGTATCAAACTGTGAAGCAAATGAACTGAGTGTAGCATAGATCAAACACTAAAATGATAAAATACATTGTTTATAGAATCAACAAGCATCTAATCCCAGAACAACCCCAAGAGAATTGCCAAAGTAGCAGGGTGGGAATAAAGCTTGCAGCAAAACAAAAGAATGCAAAATAAGAATGCTCCATTTTTTTTTTGCCTAGGTAGGTCATTTTGTTGATCATTAAGCTCTCAGTTAAAACATAAAAGATCCTTGAATGTTCTAAAATAAGCAAGTAAGACCAATGGAGCATAATATGTGTTGATACTGATGTTTTTTTTTTATTTAGATGGACTAAAATAAAAATATCTTGAGTAAATAACAAATCTCATTGATCATTTGCTTTGAGACAAGGGGAGGTAAAAATGGCTGAAAATTCCACGCATCTCATTACATTTTCATTAGGCTCTGTGCTCCATCATTTTCCACTGCTGTTACTACTGTTTACGCCAGACTCTAATGATTAATGTTTACAATCAAACTTGACAAATAATTATTTGCAATTTCTAAAAAAAAAAAATATTCAGTTCTTCAATGTAACCATTTCCTCAGCTGCCTAAACTGACAAAGATCCTAAAAAGCTTCTCTCACTTAATGAAAAGCTACAGGGGTTTCCTTGGATAGGTATTTTAATGTATTGTCTGGATGTTCTGCATGCAGATGGTGTTTGTTACCTCTGCTAGCTCGATCCACATGTTCCAGGTCGTCAACAAACTTGAGGACATCTGGAAACTGCTCCTCACAAATTTCAGCCAGGAAATGAAGCAAAGTGGTCTTCTGGTCTGCTGACTTTGTGTCTTTTAGCTGTTGTAAAACACAAAAACACAAACACTTAAGCTTCTCATTTTGTCTAAATACAAGATTAACAGATGGAATATTAGGAAGAGGGCAATACTGCACAAATGTCATACAATATTGCAGGTTAATTTGTTTCTTTACCAAATAAAGATTATTTTATAGATATATTTTGGCTTGCTGATTCTACAAAAGAGAAAACCACATACTGTATACCAGGGCTATTCAACTACACTGCTCAGAATGCCACGGTTTCTGAAGGCCAGCAGCTCAGAGGCCGGACATCCAGCAATTAAAGTCCTTATGTAAATAATCAAAGTATCACAATTATCTGTTACCTTTTAAATGTGTTTGTTTTATTGCGTTGAATCATAAATGCAATGAACAGAACCCAAAACCCAAAGATTTTTTTTTTTTTTTAAATAACTCATTGGTGGGCCGGACTGAAGACAATCGCGGGCTGGTAGTGGCCCGCCACTTGAATATCATACCAAACCATACCATACCATTTTATTTATAGAGCACTTCAAACAGTGACAAGGCCAACCAAAGTGCTGTACAGACAGAACAACAGGTAACACACAAAGCAATATACAAAATGAAGTAAATCAGAAATATAAACATAAACACGATGCAGATAATGACGACTAACCAGTGTGGAGCATACAGGTTCAAACACAGATCATCTAGTGTTGAAAGCTACTGAATAGTAGTGGGTTTTTAAACGGGACTTGAAAACTGAGAGGGAGGGGGCCCGTCTGACAAGCAGAGGTAACTCGTTCCAAAAAGTCTTGGTCCTGCTACAGAGAAGTCCCTGTCCCCTCTGCAATTAAGACGAGTTCCTGGAACTGTGAGGAGCAACTGGTCTGCTGACCTCAGGGAACGTGGTGGGACATATGGTTGTAGCAGATCAGAGAGATGGGGGGGGGGGGGGGGGGGGGAAAAAC